TCCACCTATCCATTTATCCAACCTTCTATCCATCCTTCCATCCTTTCACCCATTCACCCATCCTTCCTTCCATCCATCCATTTGAGGGCCAACTGCCTTCCCATCTAAGCACCAATGTACACCTTAATTTACTACATAAGTATAGAAAGTGACTGTGAATAAAATCACACAGAGCAATGATAACATACATTATTATTAATTAATATCCTTGATGTTTTTTGCTAATAATTGTGGCTAAACTTAAGAAATGAGCTCAGTCAGTCGTGACTTTGATGAGACCTCATTGGTCACAGTGATGCTCGGGCCAAAACAAGTATGAGTAGGTCCCAAAGCATCCAGCCAGCCTTGCCATGTGGACCCTCAAGTCTCCGGGGACCCTAGGGTTTGAGACGACCCCTCAGGTCACTGTATCTCCCCCAAGTGGAGCCTGAGGTGAAGCTCATCGGCAACATCCATGGCAATGAGGTGGCAGGGCGGGAGATGCTCATCTACCTGGCCCAGTACCTGTGCTCCGAGTACCTGTTGGGCAGTCCCCGTATCCAGCGCCTGCTCAACACTACCCGCATTCACCTGCTGCCCTCCATGAACCCCGACGGGTACGAGGTGGCGGCTGCCGAGGTGAGTGCCCCCTACACCGGATCCTGTGGGCCGCTACGTTTGACACCCTCCCATCTGTTCATTCACTAGCAGTGATTGGGGGTCTGTGTGCACCCACCGTTCTGGGTGATGGGCATTCAGCAGGCATCAACATCAGCAAGGTCCTACTTGGGGTGGGGGCAGACACCGATAATTCTGTGGTGTGTGAAAAAGAGGATGTGCTCTGTAGGGAAATCTGAGGGTGAGGGGGGCAGGGGGAGCTCTCAAGGTAGCTAGAGGGCCAGGGCTCTCTGATATGACTTTGAGCGGGGCCCCAGCGGAGGTGGGGAGCAAGCAGTGCACATAAAAGTTGGGGGGATTCAGGCAGGGGAGAGCCAGCGCAAGGCCCTGAGGTTGGAGCCTCAGCAAGGAGGTCGGGTGGGAGGAGCTGGACAGATGGGAGAGGTCAAGGACAGCTTGGCTGGACATGCTCCCAAGTTCATCACACAAAGCCAGGGAGAAACGGCAACCCTCACCTCCAACTCAGCCCAGCCCCGTGGCCTCCCTGCGGAAGGAGTCGGGGTGGGGTGTACTGACCCCTAGGTGGGGGTGGCTTGTGTTTTAGGGCGCCGGCTACAACGGGTGGACAAGCGGGAGGCAGAACGCACAGAACTTGGATCTGAACCGCAACTTCCCCGACCTGACGTCTGAGTACTACCGCCTGGCCGAGTCCCGCAGCGTGCGCAGTGACCACATCCCCATCCCACAGCACTACTGGTGGGGTAAGGTAGGAGCCACCCCCGACCACCCCGTGCACAGTCATGCATTTGAGGGGTCTCTGGTTATTCTGGGACTGCAGGTACGGTCTCTCCAGGGCAGGAGAGCCTGGCGATTAGCAGCCTGAGCCTCTGAGTCTCTGTTTCCTGCCTGGGACATGGGGGTAACTCTTCACTGGGTTGTTGGGGTTCAGGGAACATGTATGGAAAACACCCTGGGCCCGGCAGGTATTCAGTGACAGCTCCCAAGCAGGTTGCCTGGAGGAAGTGACGGCCCCAGAAGGTGGGAAAATGAGTTTCAGGCAAGGGTGTGGGCAGGTGGGAGAGCCTGGTGGCACCTGAAGGGAATCTTGGGGGCCGGGTGGGGGCTGGGCCAGGGCCTTGGGGCAGGGTGGGCAGGGATGGAGGGCCCAGAGATGGCCGGAGGAGGCTGTGGGCATGGCCGGGGCGGCCAGCGGGGCCATGCCTGGTCCTGAAGATGGTCTCGTCCGTGCTGGGCAGGTGGCCCCCGAGACCAAGGCGATAATGAAGTGGATGCGCACCACCCCGTTCGTGCTCTCGGCCAGCCTCCATGGGGGCGACCTGGTGGTGTCCTACCCCTTCGACTTCTCCAAGCACCCCCAGGAAGAGAAGATGTTTTCTCCCACGCCCGATGAGAAGGTGAGAGGGGGCGGGCCTACTGTGTGTGCAGGGGAGGCTGCACTGGGGGTGACGCCCTCGGGGCTGGCCTGACCTTGTTCCTGTTTTGAGCTCAGTGAGACCCACGCAGTCCCAGGAACACTAGGAGCTTTTCAGGCCCAGCTCTAAAGGCCTTTCCTCCAGGAAGCCCTCCAGCCAGCTGGAAGCAGCCCATCCTTCCTCTGGCCACACCCCACCGCCCATCAGTGTCCCCAGCGGGGAGCCCCTGGGGTGAGAACTGTAGCACCCCCGCCCTCCCTGCCTGGCCGCGGGGAGAGGGTGGGGTTCCAGGCAATGCCGGCAGAGGGCAGTGCTGCAGTGCGCATGGCCTGCGCCCGACCTTGGCCGCCTCCCTGCTTCTCCTGGGGCCTTGCAGGTTTGCTGAGGGTCCCCTGGGCCGGGAGGCAGCGGGAAATTCCTCAGAGGAAGAATTCTGGCCCCGGAGTTCCCTTGGGTCTGAAGAGGCCTTTCCCCGTTCAGGCCTCAGTTTCCCTCACTGGTCAGGCCAGCTGGGGAGGACGTGATGATGGCCAGGACCCTCTCCACCCCCTCTTCCCTTAAGGACTGGCTGCAGGTGGTCCCCTCGCCCTGATGGGACTCCTTCCCAAGCCTGATCCCGGAGCTCATGCAGGCTGGTCTGGGAGGTGGGAGTCCATCACTTCCCGTGTTTTGGAGGCGAAGGGGGTGATCTGTGTGGTCCAGGGCCCACAGACAAGCTCACTGAAGGAGCTGCCCACACTGTCCCCAGTGACCCCTCTCCCACCAAGGCCAGTCCCTGGGCTCCTTCCCATCTCCTCTGGGGACGACAAAGCTGGACGCTCTGGCCTTGGCTAGCCTGGGGGCTTGGAAAGGTCCCAGCTCTCTGTTCAGTCACCCAGCAGGGCTCCCGGTGGACCAGGGGCGGTGGGGAGCCAGGCCTGCCCTCTGCTTTGGGGCAGGGCAGGGAGCGGGGAGTGGGGGCTGCGTGGACCGCTGTCGGTAGCTCCCTGCCCGTTCCCCTCCCTCGGCCGCGCAGGTCAGTTCAGCCTCCCCCAGCCTCCCCTCCCGGCCCCCCCGATGTCGTGCGCTGGTCGGCCTCAAGCAGGACCAGCCCCTGACCCCCCCGGGCTGTCAGAGGGCGGAGCCAACAGCGGGACAAGGCCCGGGTCCCCTTGGCGGCCAGAGCCCTCGGTGCCAGGCCCCGTGTCTGAGTCCAGAGGCAGATGCATGAGGATGTCCCTGGGGGGGGGAAGTTCACCTCAACGAGTCCCACCAGAGTCAGAAAACTGTGAGTCTTCCCCACCAGCCATCAATCATGGATCGATCATGCTCAGGCCCACAGCCAGCAGTGGTCTCTGTGGAAACCAGGGTCCCAGGAGGGGCGCTGGGGGGCGGGGGAGTGCAAGGAGGGGCTGGCCAGGGTGTTCCACATCCCCTCCCCCAAACCCCCGTGGTGCCCCGTGGATGAGAGCAAGCACCTCTTGGTGCCATTCCAGGCCGTCTGTCCCCCTATACCTGTCCCTTCAGCCATAGTCTTTCTCCCAAGCTCGGCTCAAGCTCGGTCCTCCTCAAACCCTCCCCAACCCAGCCCACCCCCAGCAAGAGGGTCCCAGGCGGCAGAGCTGGGCAGCCCCTGGCCTGAGCTCCTGCAGAGCACCCCCCACCCCCCCACACCACCTCATTCATTTACAGCCGGCTGGCCTCCTGATGTCCTTGTCCGGTGCCCTGCCCCCAGGTCGGGCCTGTTCCCAGCAGGCCTGCGGCTTGTGTGTCCCTGGGCTTTGGGGACTGACGATGACTTTCCCTGCTCTCCCAAGGGCAGGCGGTGTGGCGGTGGGGCTGACTGATGGGCGACAGGGGGGAGACCGAGGCAGGATGTGTGGGGAGCCTGCCTCGCCAGGCCAGGCGCTGCTTTGCTGGCAGACAGGGGAGGGCCAGAGAGGGGGGAACCCCGGCAGAGTTCTCGAGACCACCCCGTCAGCACCTGTGGGCAGAAGGCCGTTTCCTTGGGTCCCTGGGACTCCGGGCCGAGGACAGCTGCTGGATGATCTGCCGACCTCCGTGACTGTGGGCCATGCGTGGGCTTGTATTTTGGGTGCTTGGTTTGTGTCTGAGGGACGGAGCTAAAATTGCACGGCCCTACCCCAGAGACACTGGACCCATCCTTCCCCGGGTCCTGGAGTCGCCATGACCCCCCACCGGAGAGACCCTCACTGTGGCCTGGCCCCACATGCCCAGCCTCCCCCTTTTTGCAGAGGGGTCCCCTCACAGGGACAGACTTCTCCCAGGGCCACGCGACTATGACAAGCGTAGTGCCCTGGGCCCTGTTGTCCACATGACCCCAGCTTGGGAGCTTCCACCCTGAGCAGACCCCGGGTCCTTTGCTGGGACACAGGCACGGGAGGACCTGCGCTCCTGCCTGGGGTGGGGGGGAGTGCTGCGCCGGGGGCAGGGGCTGTGGACACACTCAGACGTGCCCGCCCCTAAGGCTGCCCCCCGGGGTGCGGGCCCTGGGTCCCATGTCCCTCCACCCACCACAGTAGAAACCGCACGTGTGTGGCAGCAGGTGGGGGCCTCCCACAACCCAGGTTGTCCCTGGGGAACATGGGGTGATGGTTATCATAGAGGAGTCAGTGGGGAGGTCAGTGCAAATGAGGCCCGCCACAGGCTCCCGTCTCTCCCGAGGCCTGCCCTCTGCAGGAAGTGCCTGGGAAATTGCAGAGCTGACCTCGGGGAGCCCTGCCAGCGTCCCTTCAGTGCACCCCCTTCTTGGGAGAAAGCCCACCCTCCCTAGCCAGGTGTGCAGGGGCTCCATAGGGTGCCAGGTTCCCACCGCAGGGGCCTTGAGCTCTGGCTCTCCCACTTCCGGGCCTTTGCACATGCTGTACCATCTGTGTGGACACCATCCCCCTCCTATCTGTGCTGCAGAGCCCTCTTCACCCCACTGCCCCCAGCGTTGAGAGCGTGCTGCAGGGTGCCCCACCTTCTGGCCTTGGCCTCACGAGAAACCTGTCCCTTGGTCTTCTTTCCAGATATTCAAGCTGCTGGCCAGGGCCTATGCTGACGTCCACCCCATGATGATGGACAGGTCGGAGAACAGATGCGGCGGCAACTTCCTGAAGAGGGGCAGCATCATCAACGGGGCGGACTGGTACAGCTTCACTGGAGGTACGGGTGGGGGGGCTGGGCTGGGGCGGGGGACGGGGAGGGGGTGGGGCAGGGAGGGCTTCCGGGGGGGTGTGAGGGGGAGGGGGAGGTTGGGGAGGGGCTGGAAGGGAACGGCCATCTCCTCCCAGCAGCTCTTTGTGGGAACTGGATTCTGGAACTTCTGGAGTGTGGGGGAGGCAGCAGCATGTGTATCCCCGCCCGTGTGGTGGGGTCTGGCTTCAGTTCTAGCTGCTGTCTTGAGGACCTTCGCGGGGACAGGTGTGGTGGTGACAGGTGTGGCGGTGACAGGTGTGGCAGAGCTATATACTCCAGCCCCCCCCCCCCGCCGGTTCTGTGGGGGGACTTCGTGAGAGCTGACCTTGAGTGACCCCACCTGTGACCAATTCTTTTCTGCCTCTTGGGGGGTAGGAGGGAATAAAGAACTCCAATGAAACTTGAATTTCAGAGAAATAATGAAGCCTTTTTGGTACTGTATAAGTATGTCCCAATACCGCATGGGATATACTTACACTAAAACTTTATTCATTGTTTTTCTGAAGTTCCACGTTAACTGGGTGTCCAGGTGGACATCACACAGAGCAAAGCAGGGTGCACGGGACCCTGTGTGCCCTGAGAGGCACCTGCTGGGCCAGGCCCACGTGCTCCTGCACTCTGCCTGCCTCCCCTCCACCCTGGCACGACACTCAGTATTTGGGAGATTTGGCAGATGAGGAAATCGGGCTCGGGCAAGAGAAGGGCCTGTTGGCGTCCATGCCACAGGGGGCAGAGCTGTGGGCAGAGGACAGCCCCTTCAGCTCCTGTGCTGAAGCTAGTTCACAGCCCTGCTCAGCAACCTTGCCCCTGCTGCCCCCAGACGGCCCCAGTGGGCCTTTCCCGGGGGCATGGGGCCCTCTGTCCTTGGCCACTGGCCCCGTGTTGTCCTTGGGTCTGTGCCCCTGTGGCAGTGAGCCCGGCTGCCTCTCCCAGGCTCCGACCAACCCCGTGGGTCCCTTTAGGCTCTGGACATGGGGTCATGCTCAAGACTTGGAGTCCGGGACCCGCGCACCTGGGCTCTGAGGGACAGAAGCTGCCCCATGCCCCTGGGGAAGGCCCGCGGGCCGTGAAGTTCAAGTTGATAGCAGTAGCAGAAGGTGAAGTCGGTAGCAGTGGCTGCTGACTTTTGAAGCACAGGGGCTGCCTTTGCTCCCAACACAGGGCTGCCCCGGCCGTGCAGGAGGCCTGCCCTGGAGACCGGGTGTAGCTTCTACTGGACAAGAAACTCTGAAAGCCGATGGGACAGAGGGCAGGAGTGGGTGGGTGGCCGGCAGCCCGATTTTCTCGAAGCCTCTCTCTGCCACTGGTTTGCGCAGCCTGTGTTCTCCCTGGAAGTGGGGGCCAAAGGACCTTCTTCCCGGGGCTGTTCTTGGGCCTGGCTAGGTACATGGACGCTGTTGTCCTGGGGTCCAGGCCTGGAGAGGGGAGAGGGCCAGAGGCTTGGCCGCCGGGGCGCATGTGTCTCTACTGGAAATCGGCTCATTCCTTACCCACCGAGGGGCACACAAGATGGAGCGTAAGCCCAAGGACTTGGGTGCCAGAACACCTGGGTTCAAAGTGCAGCTCCGTCCCTTCCCCCCGTGGGACCTGGGTCAGGCTGCCAGCGGCCCGCGCCTCGGTCTGCTCCTCCGGAAAGTGGGGATGGCGCAGTAGCCACTCACGATTGCCCGGCGGCCCTGCCCCCGCCGGCCAGAGTGGGGGGGGGGTCCAGCGTGGGCGGGCGCGCGGGGGGCGGGCCAGGGGCGGGCGCCCGGGGGGGGGGGGGGCGCGGGGGTCGAGCGTGGGGCGGGCGTCCAGCGCGGGGGCGCGGGGGGGCGGGTGCCCAGCGCGGGCGCGCGGGTGTCGAGCGCGGCTACGCGCTCAGGCTGCCCCCCTGCGCCGCAGGTATGTCCGACTTCAACTACCTGCACAGCAACTGCTTCGAGATCACGGTGGAGCTGGGCTGCGTCAAGTTCCCCCCGGAGGAGGCCCTCTACACGATCTGGCAGCACAACAAGGAGCCCCTCCTGAACTTCGTGGAGATGGTGAGCCCCCACGGCTTCGCTCCGCCAGCCTGGCGGGCGCTGCGGGGCGGACCGGGTGCGCGGCTGCGCGGCTGCTTGGCTGCCCCTGACTTGTGGATTGGCTAGCCGTCCATCCGTTCACTGGCCACCTCCTGTCGGCCAGCCCTGGGGGCACTTGGGACCGCAGGGGGCATGCGTTGGGGCCCCCACGATAGCGAGGCTCTCAGGACCTAAAGGGGCACCACCGAACAGGGAGAATGCAGGGACCAAGGCGGCCCAGGGATGGCACCTGACTCAGCCTTGGAGACCATGGAGGTGGTAGAGGAGGTGGCACCCGCCTGCATCATGAAGAAGTAGGAGGAACCAGGCAGTGGAAGACCTCAGGCAGTAGCGATGGCATGGGAGGGTCCCCAGGCCACAGTGAGGAGCGTGGATGCGGGAACGGACTGGGCACTGGGTCGGGGGGAGGCCTCAGGATGATGCTCTGGGCAGTGGGGCCTGGAGCATGTTTGTTCCTCGGGCTCAGAGGGGTGGGGTGGGGCAGCCGGACTGAGGGGTAACTGCTGTCCTGGGGCCACGGTCACCCAGAAATAGGTGGTGGTGCTGAGCAGAAGCCACTGGGAACGTGCTAGAACAATCGTCAGTGGACCCCCAGAGTGGTCCCCCAGCAGCGTGGTGACCGCGGCCCGTGCCTCTCCCAGTCCTGCCTGCCAGTGTGGCTCACAGTGGCGGTCTGAGGGCGGTAACCTCATGGGACAGGCATGCAAGGGGTGAGGCGGAGCCTAGCATGGCTCTGCAGATGCCCCAGTGACTTTTCTCCTGAACATTTTCGAGACTCAGGTGACTCACACGTTGGCACATGTCCCCGGGAGAAGCAGGCCCTGAGGGAGGGAGATACAGGAGGTCCCGAAGGGGACAGTGAGGGGGTGTACGTGCATAGCACCTTACAGTTGGCACCCCCCACCTACGGCATTCAATCCTGACACCAGTCCTGAGTGTTAGAAGGGGCTGCCCCATTTTGTGGGTCGAGGGACAGGTGCCATGGGAGGACGGTCCTGGCCTGGGGCTGCTGGGTCACTCGTGGGCTCCCAGGCCTGGCTCTCAGCAGCCACGAGAAAACCAGAGGAGGAGACAGAGGGTCAGACAGTGACAGGGCCTGCCCCGTGTCGCCCAGCGACTGTCCAGAGCTCAGAGCTCACACTCTGATCTGCCTGCCCCAAACCTCAGTTCTGTCAATGAATCCTTTCTAGAAAGATCAGGAACCTTCCTCCAGGCAAGAACCAAGCAGAACCTCCTGGGTCAGCAGTCGCCGCTGTCGGATAAAAAGCAAAGCCCAGATAAGAGCTGGACATTGTTAGTGTTGTTCGAGCTTCTGTTTTATGGCTGTGCCTGCGACCTCTTGCTGTGTGGGGCAGGTCATCATTCAGTAATGGGTCTGGGCCAGACCCCTCGCTCATTTCATTTTACGGCTGTCTGGTGAAAATTAGTTTTAAGGAGCCTTAAATGGGGCTGGGATTGCTCTGTGGATATTGTATGTGAGGTCTTGGGGTATAAAGATTTAATAGTGAGCACGGAAGGGTGGCAGGCGGGTCGTGAAGCCGGGTGTGGCTGGCCTCTGAGGACGATGCCCCAGGAAGGCCGTGCTGGGGCTTCTGATAAGAATCGAGTCTGTCATGGCCCATGGAGGCCTTCTTCACAGTGATGCTGACCAGACCTTGGGTGGGTGTCTGCATCTCCCCGGGTTGGGAAGGGAGGGGCGTGCGCACCATGTCTCCTTCCCTCCCGGAGAGCTCCACGTCCTGGGTCTGCAGGAAGGTGACTCCTCAGCCTGAAAGCAAGGGCAGAACAAAGTTTAGCCCGTGCAAGCTGACATGAAATGAGACCCTGCTATGTGGTCTGGTCTCTCTTCTAGGTTGGGGGGAGGAGGGCAGATGGTGACATTTTGGCGAGATCAGGGCTGGGAGTGTGGAAGCCCAGCGCTGGGGATCCCGGAGGAGGCCTCTGATGTAGCTGGTCATCAAGGAGGGCTTCTTGGAGGAAGAGGAGTGTGGGGGAGAGGAATTGGTTGGTTCTGAGCAGAGCAGGGGCAGGATGGGGGGTCGGAGGCCTGGGGCAGCACTGCAGCTGTGGGGGGCAGCCTCCCGGGAGAGAAGAGTCTCTCTGCACTGTCTCCCCTCCCACCCAGTCATCTTGGCCTCGTTTGACATGACCCGTGGGCCGCAAGTTGTTTGCAGTCCGATAGAGCAAGGGCGGGTTGGCTTGTTTATTGTCGACATTTTTAGGAGAAGGAGCGTGAACAGGGCCAGGCAGTTCTGAGGGGGCCCTGCTTGGGATGCAGTTTCCTCACCCGAAGGCATATGCTCGGAGCGTGCAGCGCCTAGACCGGGACCTGCCCTGAGTCCCGGCTCTGCTGTGGGCCATTCTCCAGCAACACCCGAGGCCCATTTTACAGATGGGAGATGGTGTTGAGATGCAGGGTAGCTTGTCCAAGACCAGAGAGTGATTGACGCCTTGGCTGGGACTGACACGAGGGTCCACATCCTGGGTCCGTGTCCTCGCAGGGCCCACGCTCAGGAGCGGCCACACCGACCTGCTCTGTATATGAAGGGGGAGCTGAGATGAGCTCCGGGGTTTTCTGCTCAGCACTCCTGGCCCAGGAGAGACGGTTGGGTGGACCCTCGAGCAGAACTGCAGGGTCACACGCAAGAGGGGGCTCTGAGGACAGACGAATGGGAGCTGGCTGGGCTAGGCCGCCCGTCCTCTGGAGAGCACACACCCTATCCGCGCCCTCTCTCTCTATCTCTTCAGGTGCACCGCGGCATCAAAGGTGTGGTGATGGACAAATTTGGCAAGCCGGTCAAAAACGCCCGGATTTTGGTCAAGGGCATCCGCCATGACATCACCACAGGTGAGCACCTTCCTGGGGCCCGAGTCGTGGTGGCTGGCTCCCGCAAGCGGTCATCGGCCCGGTGCCCCGAGGGGCTGCTCCACTCATCCTCCACGGGTTTTGAGGGATGAATAAGAGTTGGGCTGAGGAAGCAGTGGGAAGGGTGCTCCAGGCCAGTGCAGAGGCAGGTGCTTGCCCTCCAGGCTGATGCCCCTCAGACCCCCGCGTCTCGGCACCTCAAGCCCGAATGTGAGCCTGGGTCTGAGAATCACTTGTGTTCTATTTGTTCACAGCCCCAGATGGCGACTACTGGAGACTGCTACCTCCGGGGTCCCACATCGTCATAGCTCAGGCCCCCGGCTACTCCAAGGTCATCAAGAAGGTCACCATCCCCGCCCGGATGAAGAGGGCTGGCCGCGTGGACTTCATTCTCCAGCCTCTGGGCACCGGACCCAAGAAGCTCCTCCTCGGGCCACGGAGAAATGGGTCTGGGCCCCGAGACCCCCCGGGAGGTGCCAGCCCATACGGGGAGCCCGAGGAGCCGGGCTGGGAGCCCCTCGGGGGACGGAGGCAGCCCTCTGCGGGCGGGAGTAAGCCGTGGTGGTGGTCCTACTTCACATCCCTGAGTCAGCACAAGCCGCGCTGGCTGCTCAAGTACTAGCTGCCCCCCACCCTCTGGCCCAGAGGCTCCAGGCTCTTGATTTTGTCTTCGGAAGACACCTTGTAAAGCTGTTTCTGTTTTATTAAAGTCATTTTATTTACTGTCGGCCATGGTGAGAGGCTCTGGGCATGAGGCACGCCGGCCTCGTCCACCCGAATGGCCCCGGGGCAAGTGGTCCCATGGGCAGCCAGCTGTGGGGTGGACCCTGAGGCCCCAAAGCAAGAGGGGCCCTCTACCTTACAGATGGGGACACTGAGGCTCCCAGGGAGGTGACACATGGGGAGGGAGGTGCAGGGCCAGCCAGGAGCAGAGACTCGGGAGTATGCGGAGGTGGGATGCAAAGGAGAAAGTTTTCAGGAGAGTCTGGCTGGGAGGAGTGGGGGGTGGGCAGCAGGTGACCTCAAGGGCAGGAGAGCTGGTGAGAACTCAGGGACTGTAGCATCACCCAAGGGTCACACTTGGAGGCTCCCAGGCTTTGATGGGGCCCTACCTCCAACACGAAGCATCTCCCTTAACTCCTTTCTCAACCTTATGATGCCACCAACACAGGTCCAGAGACCCACCCCCAGGCCCCAAACTCCCCACAGGATTCCACCTGGCCCATCTCTCTATAGTCAGGCAGGTCCATGGGTCCTAGGATCCCTGAGGCAGGGAGGCATGCGGCCCAGCAGAGAACACTGGCAAAGAAGGTATGCTAATCAGGTAGGGCTGTGTAACAACGTGCCACAGGCTGGGGCCTCGAGGCACAGGGCTTTGTTTTCTTACCGTCCTGGAAGCTGGATGCCCGAGGTCAAGGTGTAGACAGGGGTGGTGCCCTCTGAGGCCACGAGGGAAGGATGCACGCCAGGCCTGTGTCCTTGGCTCATAAACAGCTGGCTTCTCCCCACATCCGCGGGCCATCTTCTGTCAATGCTTGTCTGCCTTACTTTCCTGCTTTCCCACATAAAAGGACACCAGTCCTATTGGATCAGGGCTACCCCAACAGCCTCATCTTAGTTTGATCACTTCTAGGAAGACCCCCATCTCCAAATACAGTCAGGTTCACAGATACTGGGGGTGAGGAATTCAACATATACCTTCTGGGGGAACGCAGTTCAACACATCACAGAAGGATCGTCTGCAACACGGCAGCTTCCCTGCTGCTCCTGGCTGCACCACTGGGGCCCCCACCCGGATGGGGATCCCATGTGCGCAGTGCCTTGACCCCAGCTGACCCCCACCATGACCCCTACTGGCACATCAGCACGGTTTGATGGCTGGCCCTGGCCTCTGCCATCTCAGAAGCCTTCCGGGCAAGCTGAGAGAAGCAGGTGTGCTCCCAGCACCAGGGGGTGGGGTCTCTGTGGAGCGGGGGTGCGGGCGTGCTCAGGTCCTCAGTCTGGCCGGACACAGCGGCTCACAAAGCGAGCATGTGTATATCGGTCATGATCCGGAGTGTTTGTCAGACATCCTTTGGGGCTCTTGACCTACCTTCACCCCTGTGTCCAGTGGTTCTGAAGGTCATCGTGTATTTGGCTCTACTGTGTACCACGTCGGTGTGAAGCAGACTGCTCTTCCCGATTTACTGATGGGGGTGCAGCCCAGAGAGCTGGCACCGCTTGCCCGGGACCTCAGAGCGTGTTGCTGGCTGCTCAGTGCCTCCTGCAGGGCACCTGTGTGAGGCTCCTGCTGTCCGCAGCTGTCTGGAGAAGAGCTTATCCGAGTGCGCATGAAGGCCAAGAGCTCAACGGGGCACCTGTTCATTCCAGGAGCTGAGGCCTGGGCCCCGGGGAGGGGGTGAGGGTGGGGGTGGCCAGGGTGAGGAGAGAGATTGCCTGATTGGTGTGGGGGTGGCTGTGGGCAGTGGACCATGGCAGTGGGAGGGTCAGGTGGGGACAGGTTGGGCTTCCTATTTCTGGCCAGCAGGGGACCGTTTTGGTGGCTCCTATGATCTTTTCTTTTGATAGAACTTAGGACAGAACCCCCACAAGGAGGAGGCTAAGAGCTAGGGTCCACCTGCTGTGCTCACCGTGAGACTGAAGGGGATGTCAGAATGGTGGGGACCTCAGGATTCAGTGAGAAGCAGGGAGCCCCCCAGGGCCCACGGGGCAGCTCTGGCTGTGGGAGCCGGGTTAGCTCTCCTCCAGGGGGCCGGCTCTCTGCACACTGGAGGGAGGGGGTTCCAAAGGGAGCGTGCACGCTCCGGGGTGTCGCTGCTGGTAGGCGTCCTTACAAAAGAGCTGGCAGTTGAATCTGGAGGTAGGGAAAGGGAAGGTGGCCCAGCATCACTCTCAGACGCTGCCGAGGAGAACAGGAGGGTGAACAGCATCACGAGCCACGCAGCAGAAGTGAGGAAAAGGCGAAAAATCTCACAGTAAGGAAAATAGAATGAATGCACAAGAACACGGAAGGAATAAAATGCAGAGCACCAGAAATGTGCATGAGCTGAATCCTCCACTAAGAAAGCAGAAACCACCAATCTGAGTTACCAAAAAAAAAAAAAAAGGCAGCATGTACTTCAAGGAAGCACGCTTGAAAGCAAGTGATACAGGATGTGAAGGGAAGCCAAGAAATGCAGATGCCCGGACAACAAGGGCTTCATCGGTGGCAGAGGAGGTGGGACTGGGGATCAAACACAGTAAATGGAAGAGAAAGACGTTGGAGGATCAAACAATTTATGACCAAGATAAAATAATAAATCTGCATTATACACTAATCAACTTAGTGGCTAACGATGTAAAGCCAAGCCATTTAAAAATACAGGCAGAATTCCTGTAGGAACTGCGATGTGTCATTTTGGGAATCAGACCAGTCCAGTGGCTCAGTCAGTGAGCTGGGTTTTAGAGAAACAGAGTCATGCACGGAACCAGCAAACTCAGTTTAACGAATGTGTATGAGGCATTGCTTACTTCAGGTGGAGAGTGCACATTCCTCCCAAAACCCACTGAGCATTTGTAAAAATTGATAACATGCTTCATCTCAAAGAACACCTTAAGAAAAATTTAAAAGGTGGAGATTATCTCCAGCCATAGCCTAGACAAATTAGAAATAAAGGTAAAAAACCCCTTTACCATTTGGATTTAGCTGCATGGCAGAGAACCAACACAGGGTGGCATAACACGGTGGAAGTTAGTTTCCAGGACAGAAGTCTGGGCTAGGCGGTGGCCAGACAGCAGGATGTTTTATGAGACCCCAGGCTCCATCCACTTGCTGTTCCACCATCCTGGGGTGAAGCTTCCCCTCTACGCCATCACTTCTGCTCACATCTCATTGGCCAGAACTCAGTCACGTGGGTAGGCCTGCCTCAAAGAATGCTGGGAGTTGTAGTTTTTGTCTTGGATGGGAGGGTGCTCCATAAAAATGGGGGGCTCCATAAGTTACCATAGCAAAGTTACCTCCCCCATAGGGGAGGATGGATTTTGGAAGACGTTGAGACTCTGCACGACATTGATGGAGTGGAAAGGAAAGGGGACTGTGGGAGGAAGCTACTGGGAGAGAGGAGATGAGGACAGCTGTGGCCCGTGGTGGCTGGTGCCCAGAAGCAGGTAAAGCAGGTGCACCATCACTGATGGGGGAGACAGAGAGCCAAGGAACTGACCCATCACCTTTTATAAAATCCACAAGATAAGAAGAGGAGAAAATTAGAGACAAAAGATGAAATTCTGTAAATAGCAAACAGACCAAAACAGTAAAAGTATTAATAAGCCCCAAAGCTGATTCTTTATTTTTTTAAACAAATTTTATTTATTCATTTGTCAGAGAGAGAGAGAGCACACAAGCAGGGGGAGCAGCACGCAGAAGGAGAAGCAGGCTCCCCGCTGAGCAGGGAGCCCGATGTGGGGCTCGATCCCAGGACCCTGGGATCATGACCTGAGCCGAAGGCAGACGCTTCACCAACTGAGCCACCCAGGCACCCCCAGAGCTGGTTCTTTAAAAAAATCAACAAAAGAGACAAATGTCTCATAAACCTGATTAGTAAACAAAGAAAGCACACAGAATACTCTTAAAAATGAGAAAACACACCCAACTGAAAAACTGGAGGAGATCTAAAAATATCTTTAAAAGAATTTTAAATGAATTCTATGGCCATAAAATTGAAGGCCTAGAGGAAAAGAGGTGCTTTCCCAGAAAAATATAAATTCAATATATAAGATAGAAAAATGTAAATTATGAAAATTAAACCTGGAGGAAGCTGCTTACTTGGAGAGATCTCATGCCCCAGGACGGATGTGCTGCTTTCGCCAAGTAGAGGGAGGGCAGTGGGTGACTGCTGATGGGAGGGGGTCCTCCCGGTGATGGGAATATTCTGGAATCAGACAGTGGTGGTGGCCGCACGGCTCTGTGAGTCTACTAGAACCCAATGAATTATGTACTTCAAGATGCTTAAAATGGTGAATTTAATGTTATGTGAATTTTATCTCAATTAAAAAATAAACAACAGGTCAGGGAGAAGGCTTGGTGGAAGGATCGCCCATGGCTGAGGTGTGAGTGACCCCAGGTGCTGGTCTGGGGGGAACTCAGAGCTGAGAGGACTTACAGGCTACGGGTGAGGGGTTCTGAGCTCCCGGAGCCCCTCATCCGTCCTCAGTGGTGGGATGCTGTCACACTTGCCTGGCCTCAGCCTCCTCTCATCTGTGGCCCCTGGGGGGCCTGGCGTCCACCCAGCTTGCCACCACACTGCACACAGTTCCTTGCAAGTCCTCAATGCTCCGTGAACGAGTAAGAGTGAATGATGAGTAGGGGGATGAGTGCAGCGGGCCTCTGATTTGGGTGTTGTGCAAGGGACAGGCTTGTCAAGGGCGGGAGTGCGTTTGGAGTGGCGGGTGGGGCAGGGGATAAGCATGTCCCTGGCTGCCCACCGAAAGCCATGACTGTCTAGATACTTCCCTTCGTGAGAAAGCACTTCCTGAAACGGGGCACCTTCCTTCCTTCAACTGTCCCACGGCTGTGGCCCTCTGAGGCCATCCCGCCGCGCCTCTCCTTCCCTACCACAGCTCCCGTGGCCTCACGACGGTCCTCTCCGCTGAGCGTCTGCGGTCCTTCTTCCCCTGTGGGCCAGCCACACCCACACACAGGCAGATGACAGAAGCCGTTCGGGCCCGGCCTCCATGTCCCACC